CTGCATCAAGAGAAGCGTGGTCAGCAGGTCGAGAGAGGTGATTCTGCCCCTCTACTCTGCTCTGGTGAGACCTCACCTGGAGTACTGCGTTCAGCTCTGGAGCCCTCAGCACAAGAAGGACATGGAACTGTTGGAGCGGGTCCAAAGGAGGGCTACAAAAATGATCCGAGGGCTGGAGCACCTGTCCTATGAGGACAGGCTGAGAGAGTTGGGCTTGTTCAGCCTGGAGAAGAGAAGGCTGCGGGGAGACCTGATTGCAGCATTTCAGTACTTAAAGGGAGCCTATAGGAAAGATGGGGACAATCTTTTTAGTAGAGACAGCAGTGACAGGACGAGGGGTAATGGTTTTAAACTAAAACAGGGTAGGTTTAGGCTGGATATAAGGAAGAAATTCTTTACAATGAGGGTGGTGAAACACTGGAACGGGTTGCCCAGAGAGGTAGTGGAGGCCCCATCCCTGGAAACATTCAAGACCAGGTTGGACGGGGCTGTGAGCAACCTGATCTCGTTAGCGGTGTCCCTGCTCACTGCGGGGGGGTTGGACTAGATGACCTCTAGGGGTCCCTTCCAACCCAAAACTTTCTATGATTCTAATGTGTGCCCTATTTTTTTCACTGTAAATATATTGGCCTTTCAATGGATTGTGATGTTTGATTTTGCATTCACTTAGAATAAACAATGTCAAAGATTTGAATCGTAAGCCATGTTCTGTTTCAGGAAATACAGTTTAACTGGGCAGCCGGCAGCTCAGCACCAGACAGCTGCTCACTCACCCCTCCCCTTCCCCCCAGCGGGATGGAGAGGAGAAATGGACAAAAGGGGAAACTCGTGGGTTGAGGAAAAGACAGTTCAATAAGGCAGCAAAGGAAATACACCAATAACAGTACCGATAATAGCAATGATAATAACAATGATCATAATGAACATGCAAAACAAACCATATACAATACAATTTTCTCACCACTACCCAACAAACGATTCACAGCCCCCCCCAAAAAAAAAAGTTAGAACTCCTGGCCCAGGGAGGATTCAAACTCCCTGAAACCGAGAAGAGCCGACAGCTTTCTCCCCCTGGCCAACACTCATTTATTAAACTCAGCATGCGTTCCATGGTATGGAATATTGCCATTGGCCAGCTTGGCTGTCTGTCTGGCTATGCTCCCTCCCACCTCCTGCACACCTGCTCGTTAGCTGAATGTGAGAAACTGGAAAAAAAGTCCTTGATTCGTAGCAACAACTGAAAACATCAGTGTTATCAACATTCTTCTTGTACTAAATCCAAAACACAGCAGCTCCCAGGAGGAAAATTAATTCTATCCCAGCCAAAAGCAGCACAAGGAGGAACGAAACACCGGTACAATCAAAGAGAAATCAGAAGTTTAAAGAAAAGCTAGCACATTTCCCCAGTCAGCTAAACCCCACTAACCCCTCAGTTGGTAGTGTTGTTATCTTTAGGCATAGCAAAGAAGTGCCCATATATGAGTCGTCTAACAAGGCTGCTTTGAATAACAGGTATGATCTTATTTGATGAGTTTGGTCGAGCCATCTGTCCTTTGTCCAGCCCTGCAGAAAGAAAGGCACAAGTACATTAACGCTACTGGAGTTTCCACTCTGAGACTTCTTAGAGCTGAGTGGTTCTGCGGTAACTAATTAAGATGTTTCATGAGCACTAGATGGTTGGTTGAATCCTCAGCGTGCTGCTGCTCATCGCACATGTCTGTGTGATGGTGGAGGAGACTGCTTGGTGAGGATGAAGTGGCAGTTTCTGACCAAAGTAGCGTAAGCCATTGGAAGACGAGGGAGCAATCAAACATGGAACTAGTGGGTGGGTGACTGTGCTGGGAGCTGAGTCCCAGCTTCTCGTTTCCGCTGTCCAGACCCTTTGTGTGTTTGCAATAAGCTGACAGCCTGTGGTGAGGAAGAGGAGTGTTACAGGTTTCTCTCCGAAGAGTGGGCCCTAGCCAGTAGGCCACAGACCGCTTCTCCATCTGGCACTGTATCTCCCATGGTGCATCACTTGTGCAGGCAATTTTGCACCTTCAGGAGAGATGTGGGGGACTGCCTGTTCCCTGATAAAGGCTTTCCTTATCTGTGAGCGATAAATTGAGTCTGAACCTTTCTGATCCTGCTAATAATGAATTCATACTGTGATTCCTTGGTGAATGCACTAATTTTTGGTATCTTACAGAAGTGGCTGATACCGCTTCTTTTCTTCATTATGTGAAGGGCTGTTAGTGTGCTTGGAGTGTTGGCTTTCCTCTGAAGAGGACTGCTGGGTTGGGTCCTTTTGGGAATCTTGGTTTTGATCTCCATGGAGCCCATCTGTGCTGAGGGAGAAGGAGAACGGCAGGTGCTCGCCGGAGTGACAGGATGGGTTTCAGGCATTCAAGAGACTTGTAACAGAGGGAGTTACTTTAATCACAATTTCGTATTTCTGTACCCATGCTTTTACCTGCGTCCCGTTTTGGTGCCCAACCCCTTTACTGGGATGCGTGCATTGTTACTTTTTGTATTTACTGATACGGATAAGTCAATGCTGAAAAAGCAATACAGTCATAAGAGTATTTAGCTCATCTCAGAGAGATCCTGGAGGTAGTTGTCATTTATGATAATTATCATAGCTTTTAGAAGTCTTTGGAATTATGACAGTAGACATCCTTCAAGGATCTGTCCTTCAGATTCTGCATGGAATATTTTTTTTTTTTCCCCACCCTCTTGCTGCATTTTAAAAAGAAAACTGAGCTCTAGTCATGCTTTTCAACTAAAGAAATGGAAGCTCCTTTCCTTAAATGATTGAATCTCAAAGCCCTAGATGTACCTACTGCAAACAGCTTTGAAAGATTTAAGTTCTGGAGAAAGATTAATTTTGGCGCAAACTTCTGCACTTCGTCTTTCTTTTTAGACTGATGGAGACATCTCCCTTTCAGGTGCTAATCTTGCCATACTGCGCTTCTGAGGCAAGAAGCACTACAGAAGGAGCCTAGGCACAAACTTCTGGGGTGTAGACTCTTCCACAGAGAGCAAGTGCTTGAGAAGTCACTGTGGTACTTTACTTTTATGTGACAACATTTCTTTAGGAACATTGTTGTATATCACGGTTTTAAGAAATAATAAGCTAGATCCAGTAACTGGAAGAACAAAAAGTTGTCCATTAAACTTGAGCTCTTTTATATACCAGTTCTGTAAGATTTAGAATGGGAAGTGAAAGTTAAGTTCATTTGAAAACTGTTATGTGTATATGAAATAATGTAGGTAAAATATTTTGATGGAATAAAAATAATTTCAATTTTTAAAATAGTTTTATAATGCCCTCATGGTAACCTTTCATGAAAAGCAAAGTGACACACATGAGAATATTTCAAAGAAGAAACAGGTGGGATTATACCTGTAAGCCAAATTTACAATGATTGGAATTGTCAGTAGCGATTCTTTGTGTATTAACACCCAATCCTGCAGTTCTCACTCAGACAAAATTTCTGTTGACATCAGTGAGAGGTTCTGCTTAAATAAGGACTAAAATCTGGCATTTGCACTTTCTTTAGGAGTGCATTACAGTGGCAGCTGTTTGTAGATTAATTCAAGAAGTCTCTTTCAGACTCCACTCAGGAATCTGTGCAAGGAACTATATGTTCAAAAGGGGATTTTTTTTTTTTTCAAACAAACATACATGCTTTTCATACCCTTTCTAAATAACAGCTGAGTTGACAGGCTGAAGGACTCATCATTGTGCACATGGTACACAATGTGCAACCCAACTTTCCTGAAAGATAACTGCATAGTTTAAACTAAATCCTGATATCCTCATTGCCCAACAAATAGAAGTTGTTTGAAGCTTCAAGGACTTCTTGCATGAACTAGCTTCTATATATATGTTTGGGGTTTTTTTAAGGCATGAACTCATTGCAAATGATGTAAACACAAATAGAGTTTAAAGAATAATTTTATAGAAATGGCAAGAGAACCTTTGTTCTCCAAAATTCCTATTTCAATGTGTCATAATTTTAATAGACAACACAACTGAATTCCTTGGTACTCTCAAGTGCTCTGATGGTTATAAATTCCCAGGCAAAGTTTGTGTGTACAATCTTTTTTCTATTTAATATGAATAAGCTAAAAAACAAACCCCCAAACTCTCTTGTTTCTTTTTCTTTTGTTTGCTGGGGTGTTTTTAAGCTGTTTACATGTGTGAGCTGGAAAGGCATCATCCTCAAGTCTTTCAGAATCAGGACAAGGAGACCTTCACTCGCCTAGAGGATCCCTTGCCTGCTGTGGTAGGAGTGACCTATGAACTATGCGCTGGCATCGTAGACAAACCAGACCTTTCTTTAGAAGAAATTGCGTGTGAGGAAGTCTTAGAAGAGTGTGGCTATCGTGTTCCTGTCACAGACCTAAGGAGGATCACTTCTTACAGGTAAATAGCAGTAAGTTAAAATACTGCATTTTGTTGTTTCACAGATTTCTGAAGTGGCTGGAATGTACGTTAATGTCCCCTGTTCCCTTGTTTAAGCAGTGTAGTGGAGGAACGTGGACATCTGAAAGTAAGTGAAAGGTGTAATTTTCTGCAAGTGAGAGGAGTATTTACAGAGACTTAAGCAATTATAAACTCATAATTATGGGATTGAATTCCAAGGAAGAATGATACTATTGTGATTTATTCCAAAAACTATTAGAGCTGGGAAAAGTTGCTCTGGGCTCTTAAGAGCAGTTTGTTATACTACTAGAAAACAGCCCGTCTTTACTGTGTCAGTCATTTTCCATCTCTGGTCTTTATTATTCTGATTAACAATAGAAACTGCCCAAGATGGACTCTGACTTTCCATTAACACAACTTCGTAGAAGCATAAGAACTTGTACCATTAGGTCTATATACTAGATAATATTTGGGTCATAATTAAGGCTTCTGTGAATTTGACAATAATTAATGTTATATGTGAAGATTTTTCTGATTTGACTGTGAAAATTTTTATATTTTTTGCAGGGTTTTAAATATTTATTGAAATAGACTTCAACATGTTTTAAAACATATGTTAGGAGTAAGAGGAAAACTTAATATGTAAGAGGAAAAATAGTTGTTGGAGGGGAAAACAAACAAACAAAAATCCCTCAGGAGAAACTTTGCACACAGCTTTAATCCCATTATATCTCCTCCCCAGCTTTTAATATTGTTATCCAAAATGTATGTATGTTTGTATTTTACAGAGATACCAGGTTTTTTACTTTCTTTACTTTGCTTGACATTTCCATTGAACTAGGTCCTGTCATTGGTTTTTAATTTGGGAATCGAATACAAATCCACAGCTGTCAATCCTGGCAAATGTTATTTCCTGCTGGATTAGCAAGCACTGCTTCTGTTGAGGGGAGGGGGTGAATCACAGGAGCTGTCTTTTACAGCTCCTTGAAACTAGATTAAGAGCTTGCTCTACTGAAAGAAAAAGTGCCTGCTAGTTTTATGAGCAAAAGCTGTCTACAGAATTTCATAGGTTGGGTGACACTGACAGGCCACAGCATGCAGATATATACATATGTAAATATACCTATGTATGCGTATACAACCACAAACTAGGAGGAGTAGAATACAATTTCTGTAGCTGTGGAAGTTTGTAGATTCAGTGTAGAAGTTTGACTCAATGTTAACGATTTACATCTGGCTAAAACACCGTATGTTTTTTGATTGATAAATGTCTTGTATCTTACAGGTGGTTGTTCTTTCAGTTGTCTTTTTTTTTTTTTTTAATTTTACTGACTTGCGAAGAGAGGATACAGTTGGAGTTTTCTCTGTTGAGACCCATGCAAGGGGGGCATTTAATATGTTAATGCCCCAATCCCGCTTTGTCTGCGTGGGCACAGCTTTCTGCCCATGGAGATCCACACTGAAGTCAGAAGGGCCTGTATAATACTAACTTTTATAGAGGAATATGGAAAGGTTGAAGCCTCAAAGATGGTGTTTTACAGTTGCCTTTGATGGACTTCCTGTGCTCTCTATTAGAATTTTATTCTAAATGTTATGTTCTCCCCTATTAGGAGTGTCCTGTTCTTCCTTCAACCAAAGACTGGCATATCTATCTGATCCTTGAGGATCTGATGCAAAGGCAGGAAGTAATTGGTTCCCCTATGGTCTGCTAAGGCTCAGCTGGATTGCACCTATGCTTTCTCCAATATCTGATCATTTTATAGCCTCGCCAGGCATTCTGTCTGAAGTGTATTAACTATCCGTACCATGAGCAAGTTTTTCCTCATGTCTTGCCTAAATTTCCCATTCTTTACTTCAAGCCTGAGACTGACCCTCTTCCCAGTGGACATGAAGTACTTCTGCACGTTCCACATACTTGTTTCAACACGTCTCCCCTCTATTTTATTTTTGCCTATGCAAAACTGTCTTAGTTGATTTAAGCTTTCTCTTTAGACCATGTTTTCTAAATACCTTATCATCCTTTCTGCTGTCCTCTGCCTTCTGTCCATCTGGTCTGCAGGTTTCTTAAAAACGTAGTGCCCAAAGCGGAGCACAGTATTTTAGCGGGGGCTTTACCAGTGTCAGACAGAGTGGAAGCATTATTTCCCTAGTCGTACAGATGATTTTGTTTATATGCTGCAGTATGATGTTTGCCTTTTTTGCAGGCAGTGGCATTATGTTGTTGGCTTGTGGTCCACAATGCCTCCCCTAACTCAAAACTATTTCATTCACCTCCTGTCTGTATTTGTGCTGTTCGTTATTTCTGCCTGAACACAGCCTTGAACTTGACTTTATTGAATTGCACCGTATTTTTTTCAGATCAGTTCTCCAAGTTGTTGGAATGATTTTGAATTCTAATATTCATCTGTAGCTTTTTATAAATAGTCCATCTCAGCTTTGCTGCCTGCAGTCTGTATTTCAACATACGAGTCCTAAAACAAATTACTGAATTATATTGAATAGAGAACGGTCGCTAGTAGAATCCTATATTAGTTTGTGTTTTGAATTGACAGTGATATCCATTCCATGAGTACCATTTTCATCCTAGTCTTGCACCTATTAGTTTCTTTGAATTCTAAATATATCGTAGTTTCCTAACTTCTTAATGAAACTGTCACACTAGGTAGCGTTCAAAGCCTTGATAAACTGAAGTTATGTTTGTGTTGCTACCCCTATCCACAAGACCTGTTATCCTATTATAGCTGATATTTGTTTGACTGCACTTGATATATTCCTGCCAAATCTGTTAGCTGTTGTTCCTTTCTTGATGCGAATAAAACTGTGTTAAAATATTTAGATAACTATAATTAATGGTTACTAAGTGAAGTCTATTAGATTTTTGTACCTAAAAACTCAAGAGTTGTGTGCACAGTGAAAAGGCTCTCATACAAACAAGGATTTCTGTGTCGCCACACCCTTTGGTCTGAAAGCCAGGAGTTGTCTTGTATTCCTAATGACACCCCTTTATGGAATCATGGCCATGAGAAGGAATTTGCTGGACTGGAATAAAAGCAGGACTTGAGCTAGATCTGACAGAAGGATATGGAAAGCAGAAGACACATCAGATGTAAAGGGCGAAATGGTTTTGGGCTATGGAAGTCAGTGCAATTCTGTGGCTAAAAGGTTGAGAAGGGGAGGTCGTGGACGATGCGTAGGGAGAACTTAGAGCAGGGAGACAAATGGAATAGAAGATCCTCAAGTAGAAAATGGGGAAGCAGCAATGAAGGAACAGTGCAGAAGAAAAACATGGACTGAGAACAAAATGGACTCGGGAAAGTACGTTCATGCTGTTGGGGAAGAGCTCTCTTTAGTGAAATGAGGAAAGTACATATGTACTGTGTTCAAGCAGAACTTTGCCCTCTTCTCAAGCAGTGGCTATAGTAAAGATTGGAGATAATCTGAAGAGACCAGTTTTGCCTTTTTTTTTTCCTCATTTATTATCAGGGCCCGCAGCAGTGGTTTTAGGTGATTTTGTTTGTTTGTTTGTTTGTTTCTCAACTGACCAGAAAAGGTTAACTGCAATATTACTACACAAATTTCAAAAGAACATACAAATAAGGTGTCGGACCCCATTCTTAAGCTCTGTCAGAGCTCTTGTGGCACGATACTTAGCAGATAGAAGTCAGGTACTGAACTGAGTGGAGTCAATGCGAGATGAGGAAAGAAGCCAGGAGTTTGGGAGTTTACACTAGTTGAACAAGAGCCTTAGGAACAAGTTGTTCCAGCAACAGGAGGACAGTATGGCGTGGGTGAATGAAGGACACTGTATTGGGGGCAGATAACAAGAAAGACAAACAATTAAGCAGGACTTGACTGGAGGAGGTCAGAGGAATCACACTTTGAAGAATCAGAAATATCTGTTCCTATTAGAGAAAAATGCCAGCCAGAAGGTGAATTTAAATGCAAATGGGTCATTTTGCTGTGTAGAGGAAGGCAGGAATCATTCTGGAAAAAAATCTGTATTGTTTGCAACCTGTGTGTTGAGTTTACTGGTCTCACCGTGGCTACACAAATTGCTACAATAATTAACCTGATTTTGGTGTTACAAAAAGCTTGGTTTCTGTTCTGGCAGCAGCTAATCCACTTTTGGAGGCTTCATGAAAGCTTTGACGCCTACTGGTGTGTTGAGTTCTCGTCAACTATATGTATGGCTTCAGTCAAAAATGGCATAGATGATAGATGTGGTTGGTGCAAAGGAACCATTTAGCTCAATAATCAAATGAAACTAATACTGTAGTAGTATAATTGTAAACTGAGGCTTCATGAAAATGGTTGCCAATTAAAATGTTCATTTGTAAAAACCCTAAAACAAATCTGTGAGGTTATCTCCAGGTTTTTTTTTCCTAAACAAAAAGTTTTGTAAGTGAACGACTTTAGACTTATTGATATATCAGATATAGCAAGTTTTCTATCTGTCGTAGTATCCCAGCGGTTTTGAGTTTGAATCCCATGAGAAAGTGAGCTGTGAGTTAGTTTCTTAGGTTGAAGTAGTGCCAGCTGCCTTCCTCAAGACCGGTTTCCTTAGAAGACAGGGGCAAGGAAATTTGTTGTTGAAGATATTCTTATCGCCATTGCAACTTACAGTATTTTCTTTTAGTTCTTGAAATGTTTGGTCTTCTTGAAGAATATTTATGAATTTATTTGGACTTAAATAACACCTCAGAGCATCAGGATAAAGTTGAACCAGAGCTTCTGGTTCAACTTCCTTTTCCCTTCATGCTGTATTTATTTTCTCCTAGAAGTTGTAATAAACTCTCGGCTATGAGTTCGACACAATAGGAGCTGCAGGTTCTCAGCCTTGCTGCAAAAAAAACCCAGATGGATTAGTTTAAGGGCCTAACTATATTAACATAGGTACTTACTTTAATCTTCCTACATTTGATTTTTTTCCAAAAGTATACAACAAAGAAGAGCATTCAGAGAATTAATATTGGATGTTCCAATTACTGTGCTATGGCTAT